CGACGAGAAGCACGAGCGCTTCATGCGCCGCCTGGAGCGCCAGCGGCCCGGCCCCGCGCGCCAGGCGCTCTGGGACGCCTGCATGGCCCAGGTTTCCTTCACTTCCTTCTCCACACGCTTTCAGACGGCAGTGAAGACGAACGTTCAAACTATCCCTGCAAGCAATCCTCCTTTTATCCCAGGGCATCAACTAATGTCACTGCAGTGCCACTGACCGGACAGTTCTAGGTTCGAGCCCCGACGGTTCCAGGATTTGCGACACTATCTTGTCAGCGGAGTCGAGTGCAGTCGCTGTCTGGAGGACAATTGTTCGGCCGACTGCTCTGGTCGGTAGTTTTCCGTGATTTCTCCGATCAACACCAGGCGAATGCCGGAGCAGTACCCTAACAAACGGGCCATGGACTGCGCGCGATCTTTCATTGTTCTATCCTCACTCCTTACTTACACTAACAAGCACTATCACATATGCCGGGAGACCGATCGGGAGCTTAGAGCTTGTTCCGACTGGGGCGGTGCCTCGCTAGTGGGAGATACCTGGTTGGGGAAACCGGTAGGGGGTACCTGATCACGCCAACCAGCGGAGAACTGCCACCTCCTGAGAATAAAAGCATGCGTTACACTTACGTGACCAATGGCCTTCACAGTAGACACATCCGGAATCACTAATCAGTTAATAAAAAATCAATCCTCCTTGATGTTAAAAGTGTTGTACAGCGATAGGCATAATCTCAAGCATGAAATGAATGCCCTTTTCTCGTTTGAGAAGTTATCTAGTAGAAAACATTGTTATACTTGTATTCGGGATGATTATTATGAAGTGACTCGAGTACACGATGTAATAGATATTTTAACAACGTATTATTTATTTAAAACCAAATAGGCAACATAGTGGACCATCAATATAAAAGGAAACACAATAACATGACCGCGCTTAGTATTGTACGAATATATGTACTGAACTGTAATATTTCAAAACAAATTTTGTTAAAATGCTAAATGAACGTAGATATGAGCAGTAGAATAGTAGATATAATATGTAAGTTTTTAAACGTGTTTAAACGTTCAATTTGTGTATACGAGGGCATATATAGACATACGTAGGGCATGTATTGATGTCTAACCGTGACCAAACGTAATCAAGGCCGAAACAGTTCCGCATAACGCGTATTAAACAGCTGTGTACTTAAGGAGCAGCGCTGAAAGGGCGGGCGCGGGCGTAGGTGGAGGCGGACGCGCCGCCGGGCGAGGCGCGCCTGCGCGACGAGTGCAGCCTGCGCCAGCTGCGCCGCCCGCCGCACCTCCTGGGCAAGCCCATCCGCTTCCAAGGCCAGGTGCGCGACTCTTCTCACACTGCCCCATTAAAATAGATTGTTTCTGTGGTGAATGCTTGAAGTACACGCTCGTTTCTCGTAGGGCGTTTTAAAATCTATAATGATGCTGTAAAAAGTTCAAGTTTAATAACATAGGAAAGGGAACTTGATCAAATGTGCCACACGTATGTGAGTGCCTTGTTGCATATTCTAACACCAAACGAATAGACCGGGAGCTGGCAAAAAAATCCAGTCTCTAAGCTAACACCTTTTGAGACGTTAGTCAGTGTCATGAGGAAGAGGGAAACGCTAATATGACGGCCTGTAGGTGTCGGCGTTTCGCTGCACAATTTGTTGAAAATGTCGAAAAAACTATGCCATTTGGCACGGAATGAGCACACACTTAATTCGTGTTGTATATTCTTCATTCAATAACCAGACCGGTCCTGGAATCACGGACCCTCAAATTTGAAATCGAAAATTTTAATTTGGGGGGTACTTCACATGAAGCCATTGGGACATTTTCCAAATTTTCAAAAAAAAAAAAAAAAAAAAAAAAGGCTTCAAATGTCTTCAAATGTTTTGATTAAATTTTGTTGTTAAATAGTACAAAGAACATTTTAGAGAATGGTGGAGGTCTCATTTTCGTTGACAACCCCCATTTTTCAAAATTGCAAAAACTAAAAAAGATTAAAACTACAAAATTGAAGATAGGGATTTTTGCCACACACGAAGTCAGTTGTACAAAATTATTTCTTTAAAAAAGGCCATGTACAATTTTAATGTATACTTATACAATGGCCATGTCTCATTTTTGTGAAAGTTATTCGTTTTTGAGTAATTTCTGTTTGCAATTATTGAAGCATTATGGGCGTACGTAACGGTAACATTGTAATATTGCGAGAAAGTATGTGCTGTTGTAGCACCAGTAGTATTTTTTTTTCTTTTTTAATATTCAGTGTGGAGTCTGTTTGTGTAGAGACGAAGGCTTTTCTCGACATGTGCATCGATGTGAACGAAGAGCGTTGTGGGGCAGATGGTGACGCTGCAAGACGAGCTGCTGGTGTCGACCCGCGGCCTGGCGCAACAGCGCTCACGCGACGCGCTGGGGCACCTGCTGCGCGGCCGAGGAGCCCGCGGTGGGCGGCGCCGCGCCGGCGCCCGACTACTTCGTGGAGCGGTCCGCTGCTGCGCGCCGCCCGCGCCTCGCGCGCGCTCCTCGCCGCCGTCGCCGCCGCGCCGCCCGGCGTCGCGCTCGCCTTCTCGGGCGTCTCCACCAAGCAGCTGCAGGTCGGCAGCCCCTGCGATCCAGTCTGGAGGGCAATTAGAGCGGCTCTGATCGGTAGTTTTCCGAGGTTTCTCCGCTCAACACCAGGCAAATGCCGGAGCAGTACCCTAACAAACGGGCCACGGACCGCCCGCGAACTCACCGTTCTCTTCCTTGGCACAGATTACACAAACTTAGACTAACATGCTCTTTGCTACCACACCTGTTGGGAAGCCGGTCGGGAACTTAGAGCTTCTCCCGGCTGTGGCGGTGCCCCGCTGGTGTGAGATACCTAGTCGGGGAAAACCCCGCTCACCGACGGTAGGTCGGCGCCATACAGCGGGGGAGGACCTCCACCTCCTCCCGAACAAAAAGCGTGCGCTACACTTACGAGACTAATGTCCCTGAAAGTTAACGTGCCCGGGATCACTAAATTAATCAATCAATCAATCAATCACTCGAGGATCTCGCGTGGCCTATAGGCATCGGACTCTTCTGTCCTTTCTAACACGTTTTTAAACGATGGCATGCGGTCATCTCCTGTACGCGGACCACTTAGTATTCCTGTTTGCGGGTACAGGGGGCGTTTATTCCAAAGGTGTATCACGTTCGTAATCATTGATGATGTCAATTACTAATATTTTGTACCAGTGACGTGATGTTGGCGACTGAAATGATAGGGCAGCAATTCGGAATAACGATACAGCAAAGTTTCACAACAAGCAATGATTGTCACGGAAAATGTGCGTCTCGCAACCTGTCGAAAAACCTGATTTAAAAATGTATCTTGTAAATTAAAGCAAAATATCGCTTATGCGTTTTCTTTTTATAGAAAAAGGCCTGGGGTTTTCATAGTAAAGGAATTTTAATGTTCAGTATAAGAATGCAGATGAACCAAGTGTTAGAAGATAGAGTCAATGAAGTAAGCGAATGAATATTTTTAGTTTGACATGTGACACTAAGGTCCATGTAGATGCAAATGATAATCGATTCTATTTACTCGTGATTATGGATTACTCTTGAATTGCGCATTATTACTGATGACTGATTATGAGTCTTGACGTGAATTATTTGACTGGACGGACTTTGAGTGCGTTGAGGTAAAGGTTCTGAAATACAATTGCGTGTGGCCGTGGTTGATTATATTTCATTTCCTCAAAATCCAATAAAAGAAAGTTGTGAAATTGTCGCTCAGTAGATGTGTTGATTGCAGGACGCGCTTCCCCCGGGCTGCCGCGCAGAGCAGCTGTGCCTACGCGCCCAGCAGCGCGTGGAGGACCTCAAGTTCGTGTCCATCAATCACGAGCTGGCCGAGGAGGCCCTGTCCTACCTGTGCGGGCTGCCGTCGCTGCACTCCGTGCACTGGTTCTACGTGGACCCGGCCACGCTGTCGATGCACTGGATGCGCTCGCACGGCAGCGTCGCCTTCGTGCGGCCCTTCCTCGCCTCGGAGGTGGACCAGTTCGCGGCCGCCGACCTGCAGGAGCGCGTCGTGCTCGTCACCGGGAAGCCCGGCCTGGGCAAGTCCACGCTCGTCTCCTCCGTCGCCAAGAAGCTCAAGGAGCGCGACCGGACGACGTGGGTGGTGCGCGTCAACCTCAACGCCTACAGCAGCTTCCTGGACAAGGAGCCCATCACCGAGAAGAGGGCCATCGACCTGCTGCTCAACGCGGCGCTGCAAGCCGCAGCGCCCAACCCCTTCGAGGAGAAGTTCTTCAGGCACTGCGTCACCGAGTCAGGGAAAGTGACCGTCTTCGTGGACGGGTTCGACGAGGTGTGTTTTCGCCATACAGACCAGGCGCTCAGGCTGTTGGATGAAATACAACGCACCAAAATACAGCAACTGTGGGTAACATCCCGAGAGTTTTTGAAAGAAACGTTGGAATCTAAGCTGACGACTTTCGGGTTCACTCTCGGTGGCTTCGACGAGAGCAGCCAAAGGAAGTTCTTCAAAATCTTTTGGGAGAAGAAGATCCCCACGGCGCCGGCGCCTCGCCTCGAGAAGTTCATCCACGAGTTCCTTAAAGTGGTGAAGCTGTCCAACCTGAGTCGCCTGGGCATGCAGATCCCGCTGGAGACCATGATGATGGCGGAGGCGTTCCAGGCGCAGGCCGAGCTCTTCTGCCGCAAGGAGAGCCCCGACGTGGCCCTGCCCGCGTGCATCGACCTCATGGACCTGTACCGGCGCTTCGTCTACAGCAAGTACGACATCAAGTTCCGCAAGGACGACGTCGACAGCTCGCGCGCGGGCTTCGCGCACATGTTCCGCACGCTCACGGACGACTACACGCAGAGCCACGAGTTGCTGGCGCTGGCCTTCCTGTTCCCGCAGGCGCAGCTGCGCGCGCTGCGCCCGCCCGGCGTGGCCGAGCGCGCAGCCGCGCTCGCGCGCAGCGAGTACGTCAACGCCGACCTCGAGAAGGTGCGCGCGCAAAGTGGCAACTCAACATGAGTCAGTATAGTCATACATGCATCTTGCTTACTTGCGTCTTTGATTTAATCAGATTTCAAAAAAGCATTCTTCCTAATTTAAATCCCCGTAATTAAACATATTTTAATTCAATACTACCAACAATTTATAGAAACATTTCACTATTACATTTTGAAAGTTACAATAAGCAATGATTATGGTAAAAAATATTTATGTTTTAAGTGACATCGTACGGTTGGCATGTTGCTTTTTTTAACAGCATTAATGGGGTTTTGTAATGTGTTCACATACACACGTAGAAAAAATGGAATAATTTTAGATTTTGGACATTTGTTATGAACTCCACCGCTTCGTTCGAATCTCAAATAAAGAGGTATACAAAAATGTTGCAGATTCACAAACTGATGTAGGAGAAGTGACAAACATACATTTTAAACACATCAAACGGAGGAGGAACTGAAGTTCTTCAAAATGAGTGAAAACCTACTGACATTCTTACACATTAGCATTAAAAATCTGTTTAAAAAATAATGTAGTGTCCAAAGCATGTAACATTTCTATCAAAAACTACGGTATGAACTGTAGGAAGGAAATCTATTAATCAAATATTAAATATTTAAGTCATTATTTCGCGATTAAAAATACTAATATATAAATATATGTTAATAATGTGTGTATGTATAAATGACTAATTCTTATAATGAAGACGAATTGTGAAAAAACGACTCGATTTTACATAGGTATTTCTTAATATTACCAGCATACTACGTTAATTTCTCCTCGTTATTTTTGTGGATTTTAATGAATGATTTTCATATTCTTTAAAAACGGCCAATAATACCAAAAATAGGAAACGTCATCACCATCATCGTGAACAGCAGGTTAGTATTTAATTGGCTGTCCGGGTGACGCCGCGTCTATGGCGAAGGTGCCGACGTTTCGGTTGCCATGGACACGGCGTCATTCTGCGACCTTCCTTCCCTTCCATTATACCTTGAGGCAGGGCAGAGTGGCGACCGAAACGTCGGCACCTTCGCCATGGACGCGGCGTCACCCGGGCAGCCAAGTAAATACCGACTCCGGCCGCGGAAGCCTACGCTTTCAGCCGGCTAGTAGGTTCCTGCTAAAAGAGAGCAGTAGATGTGGTGAAGGCGCGCCGCGTGGGCAGGTGGGCATCGTGACGCGCGTGGAGGGCGGCGTGCCGTGCTTCGTGCACCGCACCTTCGCCGAGTACTTCGCCGCGCTGTGGCTGGCGGAGCACTCGGCCGACAACGCCGCCTTCCTCGAGCAGCAGCTGTTCGCGCCCGAGCACCGCGACATGCGGTTCATGTTCGATCGGCTGCTGGCGCGCGACTCCGAGCTCAACAGGTCAGGCTCGACACGGCTCAACACGTCTTCAGACGGTGCGCGTTGGCTTCAAAGTCGGCCGAGGTTTATCTGCTTGGAGAGAATTTCATAATCATATAAATAATTCTGAAAATTATATAGAGCAAGAGTTGCGTACAGCAAGACGAAAAAAAAATTAAATCGTAATAGTTTTAAATAATGAATATTGATTGGATTTCTAGGGCTAATTATTTGCGCTATAATAAAGATATTGATATGCACCTTGTATATAATAACTTGTGAAGTAGCGAAGTCGATAGATCGTATGGGCCATGGACACAGTCGATACCTTGACATCGGTTCTTACATCCAACCAAGAACGTCTCACAGCTAATGGAGACTGTTATTTTGCTTAGGTTGATGACAGACATTGTGATCGCTTCTTAGGGGCCTTAGACTTTGGTGAGGCGGCGCGTTGTGGGGCAGGAGCGTGCTGTTCGGCGACCGGCGCACCATGGCGGCGTGCCTGGAGGGCGAGCAGAGCGCGCGGCGCCTGGACCGCGGCGGGCGCGCGGCGCTGCACCTGGCGGCGGCGTACGGGCGCGCGGCGCTGGTGCAGCCGCTGGTGGCGGCGGGCGCCGACCTCGAGCAGGCGGACGCCATGTTCGCGTGGCGGCCGCTGCAGTACGCACAGCACGCGGACGCGGTGGGAAACGCGGCGGAGGCGCTGCTGGTGGCGGGCGCAAGACCCGCGCCGCTCGCAGGACGCCCTCGCAAGCTCAGCGGCGCGCCGCGTTCGTCGCCACGGTGGCGCGGCGTGCGACACCATCAAGCTGCTGCAGTTCGCGGTGAGCGCAGCCACCTCCCCTCCCCTCTCCCCGCGTCCCTCCTCCCATCCACTCCTCCTCCTCCTTCTCCCCGCCCCCTCCCAACTCCCCTCCCTCCCTCCCTCCCCTCCTCCTCCTCCTCCTCCCGCCTCCTCCACTAGGCAGCAGGCGGTCGCTGGCTGGCTGCGCTGGCTGGGCGATGGTTCGTTTGCGTGCTTTCTTTTTTTTTTTTTTTTTTTGATCAAACACACGTGAATGCCGGGGCAGTACTATAAAAGAATGGCCACCGTCTGCACGCGATCTTTCCTTCCTCTTCCTTGTCCTATTCTCACACCTTACACATACACACACTTCCACTCACATGCTCTACACTACCACACATGTCGGGAGGCCAGGCAGAATATTAGAGGTTGTCCCGGCTGGCTAGCGGTGCCTCGCTAGTGGGAGATACCTCGATGCGGAAAACCCAGCTAGCCGACGGAAGGTTGGAGCTGACTCTCACCATTCAACGAGGAAAGATCACCTCCGCCCCACTCAGAGAAAACATGCACTACACTTACTGGACTAATGACATTAGCAATTGACGCGCCAGGAATCACTAGTAAACCAATCAAACACGTGTGCGTATGCGGCGTATCGGAATGCTTTCGTTATCTTCTCTACGATCTGTTTGATAAATAAAATCCATCGCATCAGTACTATTGATGGTGTTGAGGTTTGGCGACTTCGGTGATTTAAGGGTTAGCGTATGGGGCTGTTCAACCCAAGTTTGCGGGTTCCAACCCGATCGAAGCCGTGGTTATTTAAGGGCGAAACAATCGTTCGTACGGCTTCTTTTCGTGGGCCAGTAAAGGAGACTGCCCCATGCTGTAGATTTACTGCATGTAAAAGATCGTCAAGCTTAAAAGAAACGCTTGAGCTAAATTTAAATCGTTTATTTCGTCACCCAACTGATATCTTCTTTCTCCTCTGCATGGTAGCAGGAGCGTAGCAACATTTGCGCGATCAGATGGAAAAGCAGGCGTGATGGTCTGAGTCTCGCCACGTGAAATACATCATTGAATTGAATTGTCATGAACTCAACATTGCATAATTCCAATGGATGAAGTTTACAAGTACCATTCAAAAGCATTTGTATGGCGTACATACAAGCACATCCTCTTTAATTGATACAATACAGGTAATTTTCAAGACTTCAACTCGCGCCGACAGGCAAGAATTTCCAACATGGAAAAAGCAGTGATCGACACCAAAGGATTTCTTTTTCAAGGGCATCTACGCTCCTTCAAAGTGTTAGAATACTTGCAATTCACATCACTGGGTTCACGTTAAGAAAAGAGTATTCATATTTCTAATACATTAATTGAACTATCAGATTTAAGAAAAGTAAGGTTTACAGTCAATTCGTCCTCACACAACGTCGCTTATTTTTGGTTTCCAAGTTGATGAGTACGACATTAAAAAAAGGCCATGCCTACCGCAGATCCAGTTTAGTGATATCGATTGGAAATGCCGCGTTCTGGACTATTTTCTAACATTTTTATCGAGTTGCACCGCCTTGTGCGTGTCGAAATGGGACCACCATTACACGGCATTCCAAACGACAGCACTCTCAAGGAATCTGCACACTGTAATATTTTGCAGATGGTTGGTTGCCGCGGCAGCTCTTTTAGTAATTTAGATTGGTATTCATTCAATACGCGATTTAAATACAATACATTTAAATATCATCTTGTTATCTTCATTGAAGTGATGTAGTCTATTATTACCGAAGGTTTCACTTACTCAAACGAAGTGAAAAAATAATAATGAAAGGAGATTCATTTTGCATGACAAAGGAAGCGTGACTTCTAGTTTGAAAGCTTGATGTCTAGGTTGATTTTTAGTTCACCTCCGATTGTGATCATATTACTTCCTTACCCGACATCGAAAACGTTGCTGTGATGGGTTTTGTTCATCAGAATCCCATTACAATCACTGGTTAATAACTAGTAAGACGCGAATAACTAGTATGACGCGAAGAAAGAGATAATTTGGGTGGACAACGTTTCCTTGCCATAGCTCACAACAGAATGTGTGTACAGATCTCGGTAAATATACATTTCAGTTACATTTTCAGAAACAAGTTCAAATATTTGTTCACAATGAATAGTAATTGTAGTGTTCCAGCATTTGTAAACCTCCCTCTTTTCATTACTCTTCGCTACAACATACCTATCAACATAAAATATATATTTATATTTATTATATTTTGGGGGATTTAGATTTTCCGTATAATAAAAATATAGAACCTTTCTATTGCTCTTCTTTTAGCACAATTGCAGAGGTTCAGCTGGTAAAAACAAGAATAACTATGCATGTATTTGGAATTTTAGGGTTTGGATTAATTCGGCTAGCGGTGTTCCCAGACCTGAGCCTGTTTTAGATTATTATCTATGCGTGGTACTAAGGATATACGGGCGATCAGAGTCTTCGTTCGTATCACAAACATAGCTGTATTGACCCTGTGTGGGCTTTCTTTCGTCACAGTTTATAAAAGCATTTTCATACAGCTTAATTCCTGCTCGGCGGGAATCCGGGCCGGGACGCTTTACAGAAAGCTAACACCTGTCACGAACCACCGAAGGGCTAACAACAACAACACA